CGAGTATAGCAGGGATTGTGGGGCTGGTGCGGGATCGGGCAGTGTTTCGTTCTGCTGTGCATGGGGTCGCTATGAGTCGGAAACGACTCGACGACACTTAACAACAACAACAACAACCTCGGATAGGGACTGAGACCCTGGACTCTCCTCCCCAGAAGCACCTTGGAAGGAAAGTCTGGCAATCAGCTTCTGAAACATCAGCCATTGTAAACCCTCTGGAGCACAGTTCCATGACACAAACGGGGTCATTCTGAAAGTAAAATTCAAGTTCTGTGGGTAAGGAAGCCAAAAAGTTATCCCTCTAATATAGGTATATGATTATTCCCATTTTATAGGTGAGGGAAAATGAAGCCCAGAGAAATAAAGTGTGTTTTCCAAGGTTGCACAACTAATTTAAATAAAGGGCTTTTGCCTTCTGAGTCCTTCCCCCCAAGTTCACATGAGCCCCCTCCCATGAGTCTCTTTTTCAGTCATTGATCTAGAGGGACCTTAGCTTTTCTCCCCAAAAAAAATGTTTGGGATCACTCCTGCCTCCCTCCATGTATGTGCATGGGCTGTGCCCTCTTCCTGTCCTCAGCGTTGGTTGGAGGGCTGTGATAACTGACCTTTTGCCAACCACCTCTCAGTTGGAAGACTTACCAGCTAAGATCTGCACCTTAGGCCTTAACTTAACTTAACAAGAGAGAGTCCTGCAGAGTAGACTGAAGAAGTAAACATCTTGCCAGTATTTGAAACGTCATTTTATTATAAAACTTATTACCTCCTGTGTTTACCTTTGGCAGGACACTTACCCTCTCTGAGATTGAGCTTTTTTTCTTATGAAGTGGCAGGTGTGGTTATCAGGACAAATAAAACAATCCCTATGAAAAGATTTTGTAAACTCTAATTGCATAAGAGAGAAAGCCTTAGGCCAACATACCACCACCACCAGTTGCCATGAGTGGGTTCCAAGTCACGGTGACCCCATGTGTCAGAGAAGAACTGTGTTCTTTGAGGTTTCCAATGGCTGATTTTTCAGAAGTAGATCACTAGGCCTTTCTTCCAAGGTACCTCTGGGCGGACTCAGTCCTCCAAACTTTCCCTTGGCAGCTGAGCTCATTAACCATTTATACCACCCAGGGACTCATGAGCTGGGGCTACTGAAGTGCCCCTTTATTAGCAGGAAGCAGGGTGTAAATTCTGGAAGGTTTGTGGGTTTGATGGTGGGGAGATTGGAAGTCTCTCTGGATTTTCTTCAGAGAAGTATTGGCAGGGTCATCAGCTGGGTGGGGCAGGAGCAGCCTGAGTGGTGGTAGAAGATTTGAAGAGAGGAGCTGGAAGAGAGCATTCCTCCTCCCCAGGAAGTCCCGTGTGGGATCCACCGTGTACTGGCCCAGTAGCAGATCCTCAGGCTCTGCTTCAGACCCTGGATGGTGTTGTGAGGGAGGGTGTCCCTCCCAGCTGGAGGACCTGAACTTGGGTGTATCTAATGCTAGCCCCTGCCTTTTCCCTCCATAGTGGCCAGGTGGCCTTCCCTGGAGCTACGATGGAGGAGCCCCAGTCAGATCTCTGCACCGACCTCCCTCTGAGTCAAGAGACGTTTTCGTACTTATGGGAACTGTGAGTGAAGGCCTGGTGGGAAGGCCAGGTTCACTGCCCAGCCTCCAGTTGCTGACCCCACCCTACCCACCCCTCCCTGCCCACCCCACCCCCAGCTTGCTAGCAGAGGCATGTGGGTGTGGAAGAAAGTCATAATCAATAATCAGTACTGACTTTTCTGCTCTGCTCTTTCAGCCTTCCTGAGAATCCAGTTCTGGTAAGGACCGAAGATGGGAAGGAATCGGAGGTTGCAGGGCTGGTGGGCTGGCAGCCTGGCCTCTCTGACTCTCGTATCTCCCAACTGCAGTCTCCCTCCATTCCTCCAGCAGTGGAGGTAGCGGACAATCTGCTGTTTCCAGAAGTCACTGCAAACTGGTTAGAAAATGAAGTTGGGACTCAAGGAATATCGGAAGCCCCCACACCAGCCACCTCCTGGACCCTGCCATCCTGTGTCCCTTCCCAGAAGACCTACCCTGGCACTTATGGTTTCCGTCTGGGCTTCCTGCAGTCTGGGACAGCCAAGTCTGTCACGTGCACGGTCAGTGGCCCTAATGAGCTATCTTCCCCCTGGGTTTTGCTATTCAGAACTTTTAAGATTCCTTTCCAGCCATTGGCTACTTGTCAATCTTTCTGAATTTCACCCATTTTTCTGTGATCCTTGACCTCTGTCCCAGAATTGAATTTTCTGCCTGATCTTTGGCTTATAAGGAGCTCTGGTAGCACAGTGGTTAAGACATTTGGCTACTAACCAAAAGGTCTGCAGTTTGAACGCACCAGCTACTTTGCCAGAGAAAGACAAGGCAGTCTGCTTCCTGAAAGATTTACAGCCTTAGAAACTCTGTGGGGCAGTTCTACTCTGTCCTAAAGGGTCTCTGTGAGTCAGAATCAACTTAGTGACAGTGGGTTTGGTTTGGACCTTTGCCTTTCATCCTTTTCATCATACTCTCAACATCTGTTGCTTGGTGTCTCATGGGGATGTGGAATGTTGCCTCCTTTTTCTTGCCTCATGTTTATTTCTTGGCTTTTGAATGTAAGCTTCTGTGATGTGGACCTCAACCCTGTCATCTCTGTGGCTACCCTCCCAACACAGTACGTAGCTTTCAGTAGATGCTTAAGTAGCGCTTGTTCATTTGACCCCTGGGCACTTGTCCCCTGACCTTCGACTCCTTCCTTTTCCTACAGTACTCCCCTGACCTTAACAAGCTGTTTTGCCAACTGGCAAAAACATGCCCGGTGCAGCTGTGGGTCACCTCACCACCCCCACCCGGCAGCCGTGTTCGCACCATGGCCATCTACAAGAAGTCAGAACATATGATGGAAGTCGTGAAGCGCTGCCCCCACCATGAGCGCTGCTCTGACTATAGTGATGGTGAGAGATGGGGGCTAGAGGTGGAACAGGGCTGGCTGCTCAAGGCCCCGAAGCCCCTGATTCCTCCCTGATTGCATTTAGGGCTGGCCCCTCCTCAGCACCTTATCCGGGTGGAAGGAAACCAGCGTGCCGATTATCAAGAGGACAACGTCACTTTGCGACACAGTGTGGTGGTGCCCTATGAGCCACCTGAGGTCTGGTTTGGCGATGGGGTTCTCTGGGAAGAGGGAGCTAGAAGGGGTTGTCGGTAGCCATTGGGGTGAGGGTTGCGCCTTTCTCCTACATCTTATTTGACCTTCCCACAGCCTTATGAGGTGTGCAGAGAAGGTGGGTTATTCCCATTCCACATTTGAGGAAATTGAAGCTTACAGGAGCTAAAGGTTCCTGGTTTAGGTTGCCCCCTGCCCAGGGCTGGGTCGCCTCACCTTGGGCCTGTGTTCCCTCCCAGGTTGGCTCTGACTGTACCACCATCCACTACAACTTCATGTGTAACAGCTCCTGCATGGGGGGCATGAATCGAAGGCCCATCCTCACCATCATCACACTGGAAGATTCCAGGTGGAGACCCATATGCCACCCTTGATACTGACACACTCCTCCCAGGCTTCTGCCTGTCTGTGTCCCCTGAGTCCCTCCCCTCACCAGTTTCTCCCGGACTACCACCCATTCTTTCCTCTACCTCCCATCCCATATGTGGAATCTCCTCTATTACTCCCTCCCAGTTTCTTTTCTCTGGCTTTGGGACCTTTCTTGTGGCTTCTCCATACGCCTGGGGCTGGAGCTTAGGCTCCAGATAGGATGAGAGGAGTTGGATGTAGGTGGGGCCTGGTTTGCAGGAGGAAAGGGCCAGTAGGGTCGACTTCCTTACTGCCTCCTATTTCCCCTCTTCTTACCCTGGATAGTGGTAATCTGCTGGGACGTAACAGCTTTGAGGTGAGGGTTTGTGCCTGTCCTGGGAGAGACAGGCGCACAGAGGAAGAAAATTTCCACAAGAAGGAGGAGCCTTCCCCCAAACCACCTCCTAGGAGCACTAAGCGAGGTAAGCAGGCAGAATAACAGGTGGGAGAGACAGAGAGCGTGCAGTTCTGCCCAGAGTTCACTCAATCCCCTTCTCACCTCTCCTTGTCTCTTTCCCCAGCACTGCCCCCCAGCACCAGCTCCTCTACTCAGCCAAAGAAGAAACTACTTGATGAAGAATATTTCACCCTTCAGGTACCAACCTTAGGGGAGACAGTTGCTCAGTCTCTTAATCCACAGGATTGGATAAGGGGAGAAAAGGTGTAAACAGGGAGAGGTCTAACTCGTCTATTTTTCCTTAGACCCAGTTTCTCTATCCTCTCTTCCTCTTTTCATGTCTCTGACTCTTACAAAGTTAACATCACGTTGAAAAGATAACGAATTTCAAGTCTGGCACTCAAGATGCTGTTTCCTTCTTGGCTGCTTTACCTGCAATTAGGGCCCTTACCATCAGGGGGCAGTGGTGGCTCAGAGACAGTGGCTTCTGGTCATAACTTGAGAACACTAGCTTGTAACAGTACATTTTAGTGAACCACCTTTCAAAGAGAAAATTGTTTAAGAGAGCATTGAAATGGTTCTGTGACTTGCAATGTTCAGCTAACTGTACTACTAAAAGGGTAAGGTGAGCACACCCCACCTTTATCACTTCCCCATTGCCAGTCACTCCCATGCCCTTTTTCTCTCTGACCCTAACCACTTAGAGTTAAGTCAGACTTAACCACCTAGGGCAAGGACACAGGGTACCCATAAGGTCAGGAGTCTGCACAACTCCCTGCACTTCAGACTAGTAGGCTACTCTGAGCTAAGTTAAAGGAGCTCTGGTTGCATAGTGGTTAAAGTGGTTAACCTTCAGCTGTTAACCAGAAGGTTGGGTGCCACCAGTTGAACCCACTAGCCACTGTGTGGAAGATGAGGCAGTGTATTTCCATCAAGATTTACGTCTTTGGAAACCCTATGGAGCAGTTCTACTGTGTCCCAAAAAATGGTCACTGTGAGGCAGAGAGTAGATTGGGTTTGGGTTTTGTGGGGTTTTGTTTGTTTGTTTGAGCTATATAAAGTGTCCCTGATGGAGCAGTGGTTAAGCACTTGGCTGCTAACCAGAAGGTGAGCTGTTCAAATTCACTAGCTCCTCTGCAGGAGATAGATGTGACAGTCTGCTTCCATAAAAGTTACAGCCTTAGAAACTCTGTGGGGCAGTTCTGCTCTGTCTAATGGGGTTACTATGAGGTTTTGGAGCTAAGTCAAGAGTCCTTTTGCCCCTTGTGGCAGGTTCATTAATTATACAGCTGACAAAATTCATGAGACAACTTCACCTATATTTAACCACTACACCACCAACCAGGGAACTCTGGTAGCATAGTGGCTAAGACACTTGCCTGCTAACCAGACAGCTGGCGGTTCAAACCCACCAGCCACTCCTCGGAAGGAAGGTTGGGCAATCCTACTTCCGTAGTGGTACTGCCTCGGAAACCCAAGGAGGGGTCGCTATGAGTCGAGTTTGACTCGACGGCACATAACAACAACAACAACAACACTACCAACCAAGCTCTCACTGGCGTCAAGTCGGTTCCGACTCATAACAACCCCTCCTTGGGTTTCCCAGGCAGTGTCTATAGGGAAGTAGGTTGCCCAGTCTGCCTTCCGAGGAGTGGCTAGTGGGTTTAAACCGCCAGCCTTCTGGTTAGCAGTTAAGTGCCTTAGGCACTACACCACCAGATCTCTTTAATTACCTGTTCTTAAAGTCACCCATTTATTATATCTAGAAAGGATAAAAGGAAGGTCTAGGAGACTTCCAGGATGTGCCAGTCTCCTGTGCATGGAAGTTCTCCCCAGTCCCAGAAACTCTCAAGTTCTGGGGCTGTCAGTCATTGAGGCCTGATGCATATGAATGACTCGATGAATATGTATGATTAACTCTGTCTACTGGGCCCCCTCCCTTTCTAAGTTCAGTTGCCTGCGTAGGTTTGGGGGCTTCGGATTATTTACACATGTTTAAATGTTGCCTGGGTATTTTGGAAAACAACAGGCACCTTGACTGCTTTGGAATTCCAAGGGCTATTTTCAGAAACCAGAGACAAAAGGCCAAATTGAGTTCTTTATCCCATAGCCAATACTTCTTTATCCCCCGCCACCCCCTCACCCCTGCAGATCCGTGGGCGTGAACGCTTCAAGATGTTCCTGGAGCTGAATGAGGCCTTGGAGCTGAAGGATGCGCAGGCTGGGAAGGAGCCAGAAGGGAGCAGAGCTCATTCCAGGTGAGTGACCTCAGCCACTGCCCTGCCTTCCTATGTTGGAAAGTGATGGGATTCAATTCCTAATCCTGCCTTCATGGTTAAAAGCAACTGGTCCCATCCATTGGGTCCACATCCTACTCACACATCCCTTTAGAGTCTTCCTCCACTTGCATTATGCAGCCACCTCCCTGCCTTATAAGGTCCACAAACTCCCCCCTCAAACCCAAGGATGATAGTGGGTGAGTCTGTAATTTCCAACAGCCTTTAGCTCAGAGCTGAGTAGGGGCCTAATAAGTGTGAAAGTGTCAGCCAGAGCCAAGTACTAAGCAAGTCCTGTGTGACCTTGCTACTCCTCTCAAGCTCAGTTTTCTCATTTATAAAACGAAGATTAAGAGATTAATATGCACAAGTAACCTAAGGTATTCAGTAAACATGGCTGCAGGTGGTGGTTACAATTTTCACTTAGTCTTCTTATTCCAGCATCAGGCCCTTCAAAGCCTCGATCTAAGGACCTGACCCTTTCACTCATACAATGTGTCATTTCTCCCCTCTCCCTTTTTGTCTCCTCTACAGCCTCCCGAAATCTAAGAAGGGACAATCTACCTCCCGCCATAAAAAAACTAGTTTCAAGAGAGAGGGGCCTGACTCAGACTGACATCCTCCACTTCCCGTCCCCCATTTATACACCCCACCCCTACCTTCCTTTCCTAGCATTTTGAAACTCAGGTCCTTGAACCCCTGCTTGGCACAGGTGTGCCTCTAAAACACGCAGGAACTTTTTATTTTTAGAGCGTGAGAGCAGCTGGGACACTCCAGCTTAGCTTTTATAAGGAATGCTTGAGAAAGATAGGAAAAAATTCCTGCACAGAAGAGTTAGATTTTAAAACTCTCTTTGGTTATGTGGCATCTGGGACTTGGCCCCTTGGGGGTGCTGGTCCCCTGTCCCTTTTGGTTGATGGGGTGATTGGGCAGCTAGTTAAAGGGAAAGAGTTTCCAAGTCTCTTGGTAAACCTCAGCACCTAAAAGGAAACCTCACCCCATCCCACTCCCTGGAGGATTCCAGCTCTCGTGTGGGATCTGCATCCACCACCATCTGTGTTACTGCCCCCAGATGCTCAGGGTCTGTTTTCTTTTGCACTGTGCAAGGCACATCTGCGTTCTTCACCTGCACCCCTTTTCCTCTCCCCTTTTTATATCCCATTTTTATATCTGTTTCTTATTTTACAATAAAATTTGCTATCATCTGGGTCTGCAGCATGAGTACCAGTGTCAGTCTGCAGGTACAGGAGTGAGTAAGGAGGTGAAATTGGGAGGTAGCCCCTGAGCCTCCAGGGAGTGTGGGCTGGGGGCCCAAGGCCTGGGTTCCGGGAGGGGAACAAAGGCTGGAGACTGGGTCAGTCTGCGGGCTGCATGACAACAAGGGAGAGGGGTGACTCCATTCATAACTCGGGAACCGACTGTCCCTCCCCTCCTGCCAGGGTTGGCACGAGGTTTTCCCCACCCCTCCTGCTGTAGTTGGGCTGCTCCCCCTCTCACCAAGGATTATGGGATTTAAATGTCTGACTTAGTAAGCCTGAGCTTCTGGGGTGGCCATCTGCTCCACAGGACAGGGGCAGGATACCTGGGTTCCCAAAGGGAAAAGGAGTGGGTGCTATTGGATGAGGAGAGAAGCCAGTGGGAGGCCTGCCAGTGAGGGTTCCAGGGAAGTGGGGGCTGCTAAGGTGAGGGCTAGGATGTGGGGCTGGGGCCTTCCCATCACCCTCATACTGGGCTTTGTGCCAGGTGGTTGAATGAATTGAAGCTTTAAACTCTGCCAGGAAAACCTTTCAAAGGGCTTCTTGGGGTAGGGAGGAAAGTTGGGGTTGGGGACTTAAGCACACCCCCACCCTACCCACTTCTTCAGCCAGCTCCCAGGGAGGAGGGCTGGGGCAGGCTCTCCCCATCACCCACAGCTGCTTGAGCCAGTATTTAGAGGGGTGGCCAGATAGTGGGGACATGACCTGTCTTGCCGCCTCCCCTATGGGGGAGGAAAGGATGCTAAAGTCCAGGGGGCTTCTAAGGCCACTGTCCTCTCAGCCAATCAGCTAGATTTAAATGCCAATGAGAGCTTGCCTTGCCCCAAAGATCCCAGAGGGCTGGGAAGCCACCAGCTTCCTGGCCTCAGAGCTACCTTTTTTCTTTCTTGCTAGGATATGCCAAATGCTCTCTCCCCAGGAGACCTGGAACCACCTCCTTCAGGGACCTTTAGCTTAGCCATCTCCCCTACCCGCCAGGGTCTTGGCAAACCAGAGCTCTCGAAACTCAATCTCTCTCTTAGTTCTTGCACATGAGTCACCTTGGAGTTCCCCTTTTTGGCCAACATGGAGCACCTCTTTATTCTCAACATTTCCTTAGATTGTGTCCCGTGTGTTCATTTCTGCTGTACTCCAGAAAGATTCCTTCTGGCTCTGCTGATAACTTTATGAGGTGATAGTTCCCTGGACTGAAAATTAAAAGGCCTCATTCTGCTATGAGCTGTGTGACCTTCACTGTGTATTTAACCTCTCTGGTTTCACTTGCTTGCTAGCATCTAGTTGAGTATTCACTGGTGCCTGACTGCACCAGTCACCGCAATGGATTGACCCCTGCCCTCAAACTCAACTGAGCCAAGACCTTATCCCATGACAGCCAGAATCATCTCTTCTCTCCCACAGTCCTCATAACTTCCAATTCAGATTTGGAATCCACAACCTTAAGTCATCTTTTTTGAATTTTTTCTTCCTGATTTCAAGAACATGGTCTCAAAATCTATGAAACCCCAGCAAAAGTTGTACTTTGGGTGCTTTTATTATTTAAAAAATACGAGAAAGGAAAGGACCTATGGTGCATTCTTTAGGAAAAAAAAAAAAAAAGAAACTGAAATGATTGAAATAGAAAAGAAACTTGGTTGAAAGGATAAATCCAAAAGCATGGAGGAGAATAAATGGTAATATACATCTAAACTTATTCTGGCTTCATTAATATTAAGAACCTGATAAAGATATTTTTGTAAACTATTACAAGAAACCCGTTGCCATCAAGTCAATTTTCACGTTTTGTTTTGTTTTTTTTAAGTGAACCTATATCGTTATGTGTCATCGAGTCAGACCTGACTCATAGCGACCCCTGCTTGCATTTCCGAGGCAGTATCACTACGGAAGTAGATTGGCCCATCTTCCTTCCAAGGAGTGGCTGGTGGGTTTGAACTGCCAGTCTTCTGGTTAGCAGTCAAGTACCTTAGGCACTACGCTCCCAGAGCTCCTAAGTGAACCTATGTTGTTATGTGCCATCGAGTCAGCCCTGACTCATAGTGACCCCTCCTTGGGTTTCCAAGGCAGTATCACTACAGAAGTAGGATTGCCCAACCTTAACTTCCAAGGAGTGGCTGGTGGGTTTGAACCGCCAGCCTTCTGGTTAGCAGTCAAGTGCCTTAGGCACTATGCTACCAGAGCTCCTAAATGAACCTATAGGATAGAGTTTTTTTAGAGTAGAACCATCCAATAGAGTTTCCTAGGCTGTAATCTTTATGGAAGCAGACTGCCACATCTTTCTTCCACAGAGGGGCTGATGAGTTCGAACTGTTGATCTTTCAGTTAATAGTGGAGCACTTACTGCTGCACAGCCAGGTCTCCTTTTTTAACATAAAAAAGCAAAAACCAAACTCGCTGCCATCCAGTCAATTTTGACACATAATGACCTCCATTGGGTTTCGGAGGCAGTAAATCTTTACAGAAGTAAATTGTGCTACCTTCCTTCCACAGAGTGGCCAGTGGGTTTGAACCACCAACCTTCTGGTTAGCATTTAAATGCCTTAGGCACTCTGCCACCAGAGCTCCTTTTTTTAACCTATAACCTGGAAAAAAAAAAAAAAAACTCACTGGCATCGAGTCCATTCCAACTCATAGCAACCCCCATTGGGTTTCCGAGGCAGTAAATCTTTACAGAAGTGTGGCTGGTGGGTTTGAACCACCAACCTTCTAATTAGCAGTTAAATGTCTTAGGCACTATGCCACCAGACTCATTTTTTTAACCTACAGACCATATTAATTTCTAAAGGTAAATGCAAAAATCTAAAAATATTATCAAGTAGAATACACCAATGAATTACCCTATGACCAAAACCAAACTCACTGCTGTCAAGTCGATTGAGACTCAGCAACCCCTCCTTGGGTTTCCAAAGCGGTACCTATGACAGTAGATTGCCCGATCTTCCTTCCAACAATATGACCAAAAGTGGTTTATCTTAGGAGCACAAAGCATGTTTAATAGAGAATGTATCAATGTAACATTACATTAGCAAGTAAGAAAAATTCTATATGATCATATCAATAGATGCTGAAATGAATTTAATTTCAGCCAATAAGTATTTATCCTAAAACACTTAAGATAATTTCAATAGAGGAGTTCCGGCAAGATGGCGGACTAGGCAGAAGGACTGCACAGACCCTCTTCAACAAAGAAAAGGGAAACCAATTGACACAGACACAGAAGATAATCTTGGACCGCTGAGCCTTGAAGGGAAGGATACAGAAGTAGACTAAACCCCAACTAGCAGAAGAATTTCTGTGAAAATAACAAAAAAGG